GCCAATCATTTCGCCAAGCTTTTCATGACTCAGGACATCCGGTTTTGAGAGCCTTCAGTATGTAGAATTGGCTCCGCTTCGCTTCGCCAAACATGCTCAGTCCAGCAGCGATGGTCTGTCTTATTGGCTTTCATTCTACTCTATGTTGTCTGAAAACTTCCTCCTTTTTCATTATAGGCATGAACAAACGAAAGTACTCATGAATCAAAGACCAAGGAAAGAACATTGGTATCGAGTCTTATTCTTTCAGGCCGGTTCCTTGACCACAGTACCACGGGCTGCTGGTACTCACCGTCGCTCTTTTTACAAACGAGCCAGTTCCAGAATCCACGCTTTGCGCCCTTTAATCACATGAAAACTCAAAGATAGTGTCCGAGAATAATAAGAAAGCGAAAAAAAAGCCTGTTGAGATTATCAATGTACATACCCGAAATTGGTTCTAGCTCCCACCACCCCGGTTGGCCCCTCCCGGCTCACTCCTAATTAATTACCGTATCATCTCAGTAAATCGGCCACGGTGGATATCCCCTTTCTTGACGAATCAAGGTGCGAGTCTCGGCCACGCTAATGTCGAGTGTAGTATCTTTTTTGCGAGCTAACGCCTGATACGGAAAGGTGGCATGCAGCATACCCTTGAAGCTTCTCACGACCAACAAATCACAAGCGGGAATTTGTATCCACCGTGGCCGATTTACTGAGATGATACGGTACTCCTTTCGCTCATCTTCCCGTCATCAGCCTCGTACGGAGTGCATAGGTACTATACCTATGCCAACGGAGTAAATATGCCATGAAACGTGGCCGTGGGCCGGGCTCAGCCGAAGCGCCTTCTTTGTTTCGATTCGTAGTCTTCCCTTTATGCAGATTTTTCTTCAACTACTGAAATGAGCGAGATTCATCGGCTTGTATGCTATCAGGACGGGCTAAAAGCAAGCGCAACATCGAAACACGACGCAGGAAATGGCACAGGATCCCGAAAAGGCTTCGCATGACAAGTCCAACGCTCATGTCGTCCGACCGCCACCGTCGTCATCATCATCATCGTCGTCATTTCCGTCCTCCACCAGCACCTTGACTGGCACCAGCGCCGGCATCGAGGGACCGCATCTCGAGCCCATCAGAACAGTCGCCTCCCACTGCCTCACGTCCAATGTCGAAACCGACGCCGAGCGCATGGCTCGCGAGCCCGTTGCCTACATCAGCACAGACACAAGCATCGGCGGCATCGCCTCGCGGCAACCCGAGTTCGAGGTGGACTTTTCGGACAACGACCCGGAGAATCCCTTGAATTGGGCGCTGTGGTACCGATGCTGGGTCATCTTTTGCGTCTCCTTCGCGACATGGGCTGCCATATTGTATAGCACGAGCTATACGTCGTCGATGTCTGGTCTCATGGCGGAGTTTGGCGCGTCCAAGACGCTTGTCACGCTAGGCATGACGACGTATCTACTGGGTCTGGCGGCCGGGAGCTTGGTGGTTGCGCCGCTGAGTGAGCTTTATGGTCGTCAGAAGGTGTATATGGTGTGTTTGCTGTTGTGGGCAGTCCTCATTGTGCCTTGCGGGCTTGCGAAGTCCCTGACGACGATCATCGTTGTTCGATTTATCGGGTTGGTGTGATTGTGCTTTTGTTCCTATTGCATTTTCTGTGTACTATCACCTTCTTGTATTGTCGTGTATCTGTCACATTCTACCCTTCTCCCAAAGCTTTATTTCCTACCCTTGCTCTCACCGAGACGCTAACAATATAACAGCGCATTTTTTGGCGCCGTCATGATCTCCAATGCGCCTGGAACCGTCGTCGACGTCTCCAACCCAGACTATCTCGCCAGAAGCCTGTCACTCTTCGCCGTGGCCCCTCTCAACGGACCCGTCACGGGCCCCAGCATCGGCGGCTTCGTCTTCCAGTACCTTGGCTGGCGGTGGACCAATTGGATCGTCCTCATCATAGCCGGGCTCGCCATTGCTCTCATGATGACCGTCCGGGAGACGTATGCGCCCAAGATTCTGCAGCGCAAGGCAGCGCGGATGAGGAAGCAGATGGATGATGCCCGGTACTGGTGTCGTTATGACCAGAAGGTGTCCACGGCGCGCTTGCTCAAGGTGAATCTTAGCCGACCGTTTGTGCTCTTCGTAACGGAGCCTATCTTGTGGTTTATGAATTTCTGGTAAGATTCTGTCTGTCGGCTTGGTGGTCCAATCATACACACATGTACATGCACACACGCCTGTGCATGTCATGTATGTGAGTGGAAGCCACGAGCAAGAGATATCGTCACTTGCCATTTACTTATCCTCTCTAGGATCTCCGTCGTCTATGGTATACTCTACCTCTGCTTCATAGCATACCCCGTCGTCTTTTCCCAACACCGTGGCTGGGCCCCCGGCGCCTCTAGCCTCTCCTTCATCGGCATCGGCATCGGCACCCTCACGGCCATCGTAGCCGAGCCACTATTCCGGCACATCATCCACGCGCAGCCCATGGATCCCACCACAGGCAAGCCATATCCCGAGGCGCAGGCCTCCATCATGGCCATTGGCGCCATCTCCACCGCCTTCGGCCAGCTGGGCTTCGCGTGGACTTGTCTCCCAGCAACTATCCACTGGGCCGTGCCCATCGCGTTTGGCATCCCCTTTGGCTGCGGCAACACCATCAGCTTCATCTACGGGTCCAATTACCTCGCCGGAGCGTATGGAATCTACGCCGCGAGTGCCCTCGCCGGCAACGCCGTCATTCGGAGCATCTTTGGTGGTACGCTGCCGCTTGCGGGGCCCAAGATGTATTCTGTGCTTTCGCCGCAGTGGGCGGGCACGGTGCTCGGCCTGCTTGAGGTGGCCCTCATTCCGATTCCGTTTGTGTTCTGGCGGTATGGAGGTCGCATTCGCGCTAGGAGCAAGACTATTCGGCAGCTTCGGGAGTATCAGGAGCACCTCGATGCGAAGAGGGCCGATGGGCAGGCCAGGACGGAGAGGAGAGCGCGGCGGGCTCGTGCTGCTGCGATGGAGACCGACGCGGTTGATGGGGGAAAGTTTGGTGGAGGAAAATCATGAGGTTTGCATGGGTACACATTAGATGGCGTTTTGTTCAAGTGTTTTTTGGGAACAGGGTTGTTCACTGGCTTTTATTTGGTCCGATGACGGCAAATATGTGAGTCCATGGGAAGGTCATGTGTGAGTGCAATGGAAAGTGTGAATGAATAGAATGGGAGATTATATATAAATCAAATATAAGATTATCTAGACTTGAACTGCGCATCCCAATGATTCTTGCGAAAAGAGTACCTATGTAGTTTACACCATTACCACTTTCTTTTACACCAACAACAAGAGCTCCATTTGTACCTACTTTGCGATCTGAAGTAATTGTGCATATATGGGAGTCAACGTGACGCAAAGCAATCTACTCTCCATAACTTATAAGTAGATGGATGCTCTATGCAAATCGCATCACCAATCAGCAATGGAAACACAGTGCATACATACTCCGTAGACGAAATGTATGCAAACCACACAACAGGAAACACTTGCATACGCGCTATAAAGGGAACAAAAAGTCAAGGAGCACAGTAATAAAAAAAGATGAATGTCAACGGTAATTTATAGGAAAAGCCCGATGCGGGGGTCGAACCCGCAACCTTGAGATTTGGAGTACTCATGATAAGAGTCTCACGCTCTACCGATTGAGCTAACCGGGCACCGAATCCTCGATGCGATGTTGAAGATCAATATGCTATCAGTCTTTATAATTTGTCACCCAAGCTTCACGGAATCTTGGATGCAGTGCATCACAACTCACCGTCGACATGGAGGGCAATAGTGGAGGGCGATTTCTCTCGAGAGCACGAGATGTACGTTACGTTGGTGCAGAAATGGGAGCAGAAACTTTCATGGACTTGATGGACTGTCAATTGCTGAAAGTTGGCCGAGGCATTGTCTATCATCAAGGGAATAACCTCTCCTTTTGCTGGCATGTTTCGTTCGATAGAAAGTTTCACATACTTTGAGCTTATAAGCGAGCGGCCACTTGTTGGTCGCTTCATGTTGATCATTCTAAGCTAACTGGGGCATTTATGATGATACGAATAACTAATCAGAATATCTCAGGTTCATTTAAAACCTTTGTCCGACCGGCGTTCGTGAGAATAATAAGAATCATCAGAAGCCCATGATTACCTAGCCGATATTCATCCACCGCCATGCACCTCCATCCGACTAGGTACATATTCTCACTCCTGTTTAGAGATCAGAGAACTGCCCAGTCTCTCTGAGGCACCTGAGTCCCCTATCCTCCAGAGCAGCCCCCCCCCCAACTTCCAAGTTCTCGTGGATCTGACTCTCAGGACTCCTCGACCCAAGTGAGTAATTATTGTAAATCTACTTCCTCAACTGGTGCTGCGGGGTCCGTACCAAACCTGCATGTACTCCCCTAGTCAGACTTCACATATGCGGCTGAGAAGTCGTGTTCACTGTACAACCTCTAACATATTCCCCGCTTCGGTTACATGTGTATGCGGGGGCTGAGCTGCGAGTTGATGCCAGTCCCATGTGTTCAAATGTCAAGTGGTGTCTCCCAAGACAAGTTTTCGCATAATTTTGCCATCTGCAGAGTAGTAAACAACTATGTAACTTCAACTTTTTGCATCGTCTTTTTCCATGCACTTCCGTTCACTTCCTTTCCCTTCCCCTCTCTCCTCTCTGCCCCGCGTTCCATCTTCACCGTCCCATCCCGACCCCATCTTGCCTTGTGATGCGATTAGTTAAAAACACACCCTATCCCCCCGTCTGCGTGTTGTTGAGTCAACCCAAAATGAATGCACAGCCTCTCGAGAATCACCAAAGGGGCAAACGCCCAGACACCTAGACACCCAGCGAGAGATTCATCCTCAGGCCCGCAGGCAGTCAGTGAAAGCCAGCCGCAAGCGAAAACGCTCGGCATTTTTATTCCAAAAGTGGTCCTTCCTAACAACCGCCCGCAGACAAACATTATACGCGCACGCGCATATCCAGCGTGGTACGGGTCCCATCCATTAAAGGCTTCCATGTCATGCAGACGGGTTCGCTTCCCAGTCACCCATAAATCATCTCCCTCTTCCACAACCAAATCCTCTTGTTTATTTCCCTCGTCTTGTCGGCTGATTCTAATGGCATCACCTGGCCCGCCGGGTAGATTCGCAACTCGTGTCCAATGCATACGACGCTACCGACAAGCAAGAGTTCCTGATTTGATAGCAGAAACAGAAATCTAGCTGTCCTTTTCCAACGTCGCGAGCTCCCTCAGCACGGCATTCTTAGTGCTCATCTTCTTGATCTGTGTGTCCTCGAGCTTTTCGCCACCAGCGAGTCGCATCTCCAGATCCTCAATGGCGCGAATCTTTTTCTGAAGACTGCGGACCTTCTTGGCGTTGGCGATCTGGGCGGCGGCCAAAGCGGCGACCTGGGCGGCATCCACGACAGGAGGAGGGACAGCTACAACGGTCGGCTGAGCAGCACCATTACTCTGGTTGGCATTTCCGTTAGAGCGCTGACCATGTTGAGTGTTGCTGCGGCTGCGGCTGCCTGTGTTGTGTTGTGATCTGCTCCGATGATCACGGCCATTGCCATTAGCAGGGCCTCGTCTTTCAGGGCTTCGTCCGGTGGTGCCATTGCCGTTGCCGCTGCTGTTATCGTACGGAGTAAGGGTCGCACCGCCATTGGGCTCGGCCTCGAGACGAGCATCCTGGTTGTTGTTCTTCTTTCCTCGCTTCTTCTTGGTCTTCTTGTTGCCATCTTCTCCGACCGGTTCGGCCCCAGGCACGCTTCTGGGTCCGGTAGACGGCTCAGCTGGCTCGGCACCAGGCACGCCGCGGCGGGGACGGCCAAAGCCATTGGGCCCGACATTCTGTGTACCGTTGCTCACCACATGAGCAGCACCGCCTTCGTCCTCGCGCTTGAAGTGGAGGGGCGTGGCTAGGCCGCGAGCCCCAGGCGGGCGATAGGCCCCGGCAGGTTTGCTCGGTGTCTTCACCGTGCCCAGGTACGTTGTGGCCGACGCATGAGGCGTGGGCACAGGGTTGAGCGGATCGCCGCCGGCCACGTTCTCAGGGGCCGCAGGACGCCACACAACGTTGTACAACTCCACCATGTCTTCATTGTACATGATGCTACCGCCAACGTGCCACAGTTTCACTCCGTTGTCGACTCGAAGGCGAGGGGATGTTGTCGCCGTCAAGAGGTATCGGCTGTCAGGGCTCCACTCGCACACACTGGGATTGCCGCTTTCAATGGTGCAAACCTTGCGGTAGTCCTTCTCGAGGTCGAAAATGTCAATCTGGCCGGCCAAGTTGCCAAAACCAGCAACGAGAACAAAGCGGGCGCTGGGCGCGAACGTGATGGTATTGCGTGGCCCAAGAGGGAACGAGTGCTTCGCGACAGCCCGATCATTGAAGATTGTGGCCTTGGCTGGCATGTAGCCGTACACCACTCCGAACTCTCGCGAGTTGGGCGACCACGATACGTCGTGGATGGGGCCCTCCTTGTCAAGAGTCACGCGCGCATCGAATGCCCCATTGGTGCTGAGAAGATACAGTGTAGTCTCACCGTAGTAGCTTTTCCCAGATCTGTCGACGTCCGTCTGCGCAAGGACAAGCAGGGAAGACCCGCGCTTGTTCCACTTGAACTGAACCTTGTCGCCCTTGAAAAAGGTCTTTTGCGAAATAGGATTTTGGAACAAGGGGACGTTGAACACCTTGACAGCTGCTGGTTGACCCTGTAATCCGAAGAAGGCTCCTGTTAGTAAATAGTAGATCGTAACTCATCTCAAAATTCATTTGTGTGTTGCGTGGTGATGCACAGGGTCCAAACGATATTGCATTCCAAGAAAAAGGAACGGTGCTGATCTGACTTACCTTTTTCTCTGGAATAAACACAGCCACAGCATGATTCTGGCTTCCAGGCGCCAGTGCAAAGCTGGCCGCGCCCTCGACCCTCAACTTGTTCCAGACAGTAACAAGGTCGTGACTCTCGAAGAATTGAACCTCGTTGGTGACCAGTCGTGCGCAGTACTTCTCGTCAGCAGTGTATTGGAGGTTCCAGCCACCCTGTTGCTTTTGTACATATCGGCCGATGGGCTGCTTGTCGCCGCCAGCGATGCCCTCTTCCACGGTGCGCCAGACTTTGAGGTTTTTGGTGGCATCCCCGGCCTCATCCTTTCCAGGCCGTTCCCACGTGATGACAAAGGTGCCACACGGCGAGAAACCGAGCTCGTAGACATTGACGAGGGGTAGCACCAGCACGACGCTGCCGGCAGAAGTGTCGACAACGGTGACGAATTCGGGGGTCGCCCAGCCGAAAAAGCGGCCACAGGGCGAGTAAGCGCTGCAGCGTAAGTTTCCCTCGGGTTTCGCAAAACCAGCGAGGGGTTGGTAGACCGGGGCGGCATCAAAGATGCCAATGGTCTTCTGCGTTCGATACGCAAACTGCAAAGGAGACGCCATGGCTAGTCAAAGTCACAGGGTCTCAAATCTTTTTTTTTTTTTGGAATTTGCAGTCGACCTGGGATGCCTGTGAACTGAGTATACTATCGTTGTATCTCGTGCAAATGCAAAGGTCTTGCTATTGTGGCCTGATGATCTTTCTTGTCGGTTTTCCGCGTTTATGTATCGTGGCGATGGAAGAGCGGCTGAGTTATAGTTACTCGCGTGAGCGGCAATTCGCTTCTCGAACAGACCTAAAAGAACAATGAGTTGACGACCTCACTGGTTTTTTGTCACTTTTTTGTTCCGGTTCGTATGTAGAGCGGGGCAGGCACGACGTCGACAGCAACCAGAACCAGAAATGAGCTTCAGGTCCGGAGGCAGCGAAACGGAGGATGCAAGGGCCAATTCAAAGCAGACTGGCTCTGGATGAATTTTGCAGCTCCTGATGAAGGGGCGACGGCAACAACAGCAATGAGCCGGTCGAGGGGCGGTTTCTTCTGAAACAGAGAGCGACCGTGTGAAAATGGCGACCGTGTCGATGGCCAGACAGGCAGATGGAACACGGAGGCGAAGAAGAGGAATGCGATGAACGGACGTACAGATGAACAGGGAGACGAGAGTACAAACAGGAGTAGCAAGCACCCAGGAAGGCGGAAATCGGCGGCGTCGGCGGCGATGCCGTTGTGCTGTCGGGCTGGGGATGGAGGGAAGAAGGAGGGCAAAGCGAGAGAAGCACAAAGGGCGGGCAGATGCTTTTCACGTCGACGCTCGGCTCGTGTTTTTTCTTGCACCAAGGAGCCGTCCGCTGTCCACCCCTGTCAGCTTGTCAGCGGTCCTAGTGAACCCCGCGAGCGCTGAGGGGCCCTGTGAGGGGCACTGAGTATGTACTCCGTACAGTACATACTTACATTAGGAGGTAGGTACATAGGTAGGCACATACCTTAGGTACATACATGTACAGGCTAATTAGTAACAGCCCTCGGGAGTCGGGAGTCGGGAGTCAAACGGGAGTCAAACCGCCACATCGGGGCCCATTATGGACAGTCACACGCAATGACTTCATTCAGACGTAGCGAGGCCATCCTGCATGCTGGGCAAACGCCTTCAAAGACTACATAGCTTTGAAAGATTGATTGATTGATTGACGTACGCTAATGAAGGTGTATTGACGCGACGCGACGGAAAGTGAGGAGGTTCTGCGGTTTTATGGGGGTGGCCACTGCAGGGTTCACATAGGTACC